ATAGAGATTAAATGAATTCTAAATTATATTGAATTTTATCTTAATTTTGGTTCGAAACTAATTACTTATCAATATGATGTTTCAATTTCTAATTTAATTCTTAATATCAATTTTTATCAAGATTAAATAAATTTAAAAAAAGATTAAGCTTCTCAACATTTAAATAAAGATCGATCTATTATTGTATATAAAAAAATACTAAATTGAAATATTTGTTTTTTCATTTCAATTTAATATCTGTTAAATTATAGATAGAGATGAATACATATATATATATATATTTAATTACAAAAATAAATTTATAAATTCAGCTTTAATTTCTAAATTCCTCCTATTATCTTTAATGCTCTCTAATGTTTATCATCAAATAATTACCTCTTAATTTACTCTAATCTTTAGTTAGTTTTATTTCTTTCTATCTGAAATAGTTTTTCAAGTCTCTTTTATTCTTCAGGATTTTTTGCATTAGCCATAGCTTATTCTCTTTCAAATTCTAATTATTACTCCTCTTCTAAGACCTTTAGAATATAATTTAATTAATACATCTATCATTTCTTAATTTTATCGAACCTTCAATTAATCTAATAAATTTTCATATTTATTAGATAAATTAAACTTTCCTTAATTTTGAGAACCATATTAAGTATTTGAAGAATTTGTTAACACTTTTTATTATTATGATTTTGGTCTAATAATATGACGCATATCTTTATTTGATAGAGTATTTTAATATTTTGCAGTTGATGCTATTATTTAAATTATAAAATACGTCGAACATTATGGTAACTGTTTTATAAGCTATTTGATGCACGAATACTATTTCCATCAGGATTTAAAGCTGATGGATCTAATTTTCCTAATTTGACTAATTCTAATTTTTGCATTAATTCTTATTTTTGAAACCCAATCTCTTTTTTAATTAACATTCTTTATTCTAACATTTAGTTTTTTTCCATTTATAACATTTCAGCTCTTCTCATTTTGTCTTATAATTTTTATCTCTATAATTCCTTCTCATATTCTTACAATCTCATAATTCTTTCTAATGCTTCCTTTTTATCTTATTCCTTTAAAAGTTCTTTTACTTTTTACTCATGTTAGATTTATTATTTTTCAAATTATTTCTTAAATAATCGAATTATTGCTTACCTCATATATTAATTATTCCTTTTCTTAAAATTTCCTTAAAAAATCATTTGTTTTTTATTCCAATTATTTTTCATTATTTTATAATACTTATTATCTTTATATTTCTTTTTCATATATTTATTATTTTCTAGCAATTAATTCTTATTGTTTTAACCTTTCTAATTCTTCCTTTCTTTATTCAACTTCTTATAATTTACTAAAATAATCATATTTCTTTTTTTCTTCTTAAATCTAATTCTTTTCCATCACTTCCTTTATCTTCTCTTGATGTTATAATGCTTGTATTTGATTTTCATACATCTTTTACATTTTCATCTCTTCAAATTCTCTTCTTCTCTGTTCTATTTTTTATTATTTAAAATCAAAAGACTAATATAATAATATTGTTTATATATACCTTCTTCATATTATTCAATTATTCCTCTTATTTTACTCTTGCATTTACTAATTTAATAGCTAATTCTTATTAAGCTTATTATGATTCTTAAATTCTTTATTATCTTTAAATCTCAATAGTTTAAAGTCGTTCAATTTCTTTTTATTACATAATTTATCTTTTCTTTTACATTTCCTCTTCATATTATTATTAAATTAATTGTGTTTATTACTAGAATTGCATTTATTTTAATCTTCTTTCTTCTTCTTTTCTTTTTGCTTCCATTTTTAATTAATATTATTTTTCTTATTCCATTTTTGCTCTTTCTTATTCTCTTCTGAAATGTTCACTAGCCAATTACTTTTATTATCTCTCTTCATCTTACTATTTCCTTTTTTTCTCTTCTTCTCTCATTTATTTCTCTTATTCTTATTATAGTCTTTTTTCTTATAATTCTTGCTCTCTTCTCATCTATTTCTCCATTTATTTTCTTTATTTCTCCTCATTCCTCTATCTAATTTCTTACATCCTTCTTTCATATTCCAACATTTAATCTATTTCTTTTTATTGTCTCTATTTAATCTTCTCCAATTCTCTTTTCTCTCTCTCAATTGCATTACTTTATTGTTCTGACATCCTTGAATCCTTAAAATTTTATTCATCATTATCATTTCCTTACATGCCACCTGCTTGAATAATTTATTATCTTGTCTCAATACAAGCTTCTAATTTTTATTATCTTTTTATTTCTTAGTGTTCCCAGAATTTTTACCAATCTTACTTGTCCAGTTTCAAATCTGGTCTTCTTTACTTTAATTCTTATAAAGTTATCTAAATTAATTCTTATGGTAGGATTCCAATTAATTTACAAGCCTAAATTGAACGTGGACTTTTGCATTAGAAATATAGTACCTATCTAGAATGGGATTTTTGAATTTTGTTTGATCAAAATTTTCCAAATTAATCATATATTTTTTATCAAAATAAGTTTTTATTTTATTATGAATATTTATATATATGTACCCATGATAATACATAAAATATAGAAAGTTTAAGTTTCATTTCTCTAATTCTTCAATGATCTCAGAAAATATGTTAACTAAAGTTGGTTATTTAAACTTATATATTTGCATCAGGATTCTTATTAATATAGCAAAGTCATAATCTTATATAATGTTATTTTTGATGATGATATTTCTAACCCATTTTTTCAAGGGGTAATTTGGACTATTTAAATTTGAAATTATTCCTTTCCAATCAATAAAACTGTTTGAATTTTCAGGAATTATATCTTTAAGATTAATCTAAATTTATGTATCTTATTTTTTCTCTTATATAGATTTAGATTTGGGAGGGATTAGAATTTTCAAATTAATTGGAGAAGGCAAACGATTTTGAGTTTAATGAGTTTCTTTTGATTTTCTATTTTTTAGACTTTCTTAAAGGTCATTAAATTACTATTTATGAATTAATATCTTTTTTGGAAGACTTGATGAATATTAATCTAAAGATGATTATTTTCTAAGATTTTCTTTTGATTTAATTGATTCAATCATTATATTTTGTGTATTGAATTTATTATTATTTAAGTTCTTATTGTTATTTATAGTCATCATTGTAAGGTGGTTAGAATATTAGTAATACTTGATTTATAAAATATTATTATTATATAATATATATTTATAGTTGTTAAGCAAAGAAAACTATAAAAATGTGTTAAAATATATTATTGATAAATAAATTATATTCATAATTTTTATATGTAATATAAAAGTATTCGTTAAGATAAGGTGACTATCAATAATTTTTATTAATAATTTGTCAATGAACCTCAGTATGTAACCAAGAACTATTTCACCCACTAAATATTCGTAAGTCTTAGCAAGTCAAGATTTCTCTTAACCAGGAACTGTAAAGAAGGCTCATCCACTCAATAATCAATCACCTTACATTCATTCACCTGTCTAAAATAAAATGAACTTTAGTATTGTGTCAGAAGATGCTGATAATTATAGAATCAAATGTTACGAACTTGAACGTGAATTGGCCAAATATAAGGCTGATAATGAACTTTAACGTCTTGTTTAGCAAAAGAGTGGTGACTTAGAATACAAAGTAGTAGAAGTCTTAGAGTCAAATAATGCTCTTTAAGGTTAATTAGAAAGAGCTTAAAAGGTAGCTTTGTAAAGAAAAAGTGAATCTGAGATGTGGAAATAAAAATATGAAGCTTAAATGGGATCTCTTATGTAAATCAGATAGAATTATGAAGTTGAGATTAAAGCTCTTACTTTGGAAGTATAAAAAGCAAATGCAAGAAGCAGTGCGTTAGATTAAGAAAAAAATAGAATAATATCAGATTAAAGAAATGTAGCAGATAATTAAACAACTTAAATTTAAGAAACATTTAAACGATCTAATAATTCTCAGGCTGATATGTATGAGGCATAATTAAAGAAACTTAGAGATATGTTAGAAGATAGAACATTATAAGTGGCTTAATTATAATCTTAGAATGAAAGATAAAAAATAGAATTTTAAGATACTTAATTAAGATTAATGAATGAAATAGATATTACAAAATCTAGATTAAGTGCCATTTAAATTGATCATCAAAATGAATTATTATAATAAAAATAAAAATTGGAATTGTATTAAGAAACTAATTTAAGAAATTAATAAACAGCTCATGAGAATTAATAAGATGTTTAAGGATCAGAGATTGTAAAATTAAAAAATCTATTAGAAATAAAAGCTTAAGAAATTGAAACTTTAATAAATTAAAATCAAAAATAAAAGATATAATCTGAATTAGATATAACTGGATTGAGAAATGAAATAGAAATATTAAGAAGATAAATTTTGAGTAATGAACAATTACATTAATAAGAAAATCATAATATTTAAACTAATTTAGATAATATGCATAATAATGATACAACTAATCTTAAAATAACACATGAAAATTAATTGTAAGCATTACATAAAGAAATTCTTAAACTTAAAGAAATTATTGATCATAAAAATTAAGATATTTAAAAATTGGTTGTTGAAAAATAATAATAAAAAGATTATTATGATGGAGAAATTTAAAGATTAATTAATACAATTGAAGATTAAAAAAGAAGATCTATTTTATTAGAAAATGAAAAAAATAGAGAAATTGCTGATTAACATGCTAGAATTGAAAGATTAACTATTTAATATGAAAATATGTAAATTGATCTCTAAAAATAGATATAATTATTAAATTAAGAAATAATTAATTTAAAGAATTTGTTAGATCATAAAAATTAAGAAATTTAATAAAATCTTAAGAATTATTCTTAAATTAAATTAGAATTTGAAGATAAATTAAGAAATTTATAAAATGAATTAGAACTTGTTAAACTTAGATCATTTGAAAGTGAAAAATCAAAACTTTAAGAAATTTAAGACTTAAAATCACTTATTAAAGAAATAGATATATAAAATAGAGAGAAATAGAAATAATTAGAATAATAAATTGATCATTAAAAATATGAAATACAAAAGACATTTGATATGTATAATAATAAAATAAAAGAATGTGAAAATCTAACAATTTAAAGAAATAATGCTGAACTCATTTAAAAACGTATACAAGATGATAATGATAAATTGATTGAAAAATTACATCATTTTGAATAAGAAAAGAATCTAGAAATAGATGAATTAAGACATAAAATGGATTCAGGTGCTGCTTACTAATTTGAAAATCTAAAAAGTGCTTATAATACATAAGTAGGATTACTATCAGATCAAATAGCCGATCTTTAAAATTAATTGGCTATTAAAAATAGAGAATTAACTGAAATGATAGAGAAATATACAATATTGGATAAGAGTCTCTTACCAGAAACATTAGTATCTAGAGCTGCATACAATAGTAGAATTGGAATACCTGCTGAATTATTAGCTAATAAGTCTATTCATGATGCTACCCTTAAGTCCTAACTTCGAAATAGTCCTATATAAAGATATTGATATAATAATATTACTATAGTGAAATATATATTTTCTATTATTCTCTTCTATAATTAATTAGTTTTACTATAATAATAAAAGGTTACGAAAAGTCAATATAATTTATATAAAAATATTTTCACCCATTATGATTCATCCTCTCTTTTCATTTCCAATTGATTATCAACCAACTTATTAATTTGAGAACGATAACATGCCAAAAAATCAAATGATAGAATATGCTATGCATTAAAATATCAATGATTTTCCCTTATACCATCAACTTTAATACCCTTAATAACTAGTCAATTATGATATTGTTGTTGATCAGAAAACATAAAACAAAACCAAGAAATCCAAAAAGCATAAGTAATATACTAATTTTATATTATAGAAAGGATGATAAAAAAGAGTTGCTTCCTAAAACTAAAACATTGCAAGAAGAACCTTAAAAAGAAGAATTGTATTATATATAGTATAACAATTTAGTTTGAAAACAATAGTTTAGCCATAATATCCACTAGTACATTTTACTTAGAGTACCTTATTACCTAAATTACAATCAGATATTGTAACAGATGGCTCACCTCTTGGTTCAAAATAGACTGTAAAATCCAGCAAACACCATCAAATCAAAAAGCCTAAAAAAGAGCATATTAATACTGGTCATTGGTCAGCTATTGAACATACAACATATGTGAATTTCCTATCACAATATGAAAACATAATGAACTCATCAATGATGAAGAAAACATCAAAAATATTTAAACAAATGAGTGAATTAATTGGTACACGTACACCAAGTCAATGTAGAAGTCATCATTAGAAATTTAATCCTTATGCTCATAGAGGTGAAAATGGTAAAAGATTACCAAGAAATGAAAGAAGTAGAGCAGGACGCAAAAAGAAAAATTAATTGACAGATATTGCTAAAGATGGTAATTATAATTCAATATTATAGAATAAATAGTTGATTAAGATCCTTTTTATATGATGTTTGATAAATAATTTTACTATAATCCTTATATGGTTAATGGGATTGAGTATTAACAATTCCTGAATGATGTGAACCTTAAAAGAGAGGATATGCCTGAATATATCCATCATGCTTAACCATAAGACTATGAAGATTATCTAAAAATCAGACCAGATTATAATAATTAGTTAGATTATTGATTATAATTATCTTTAATTATTTAATGATTGCATTAGAGCATTGTTAATAGCTATTAGAGTTATATATACTTGAATTTAGTGACCCTGATTAAATTTAAGTTCATGATGATGAACCAGTATATAAGAATTTAAACTAAAGTAAACTCCAGTTTTTGATAGACACACTACTCAACATGTTTAATCTGTGTTATGGAAACGATAATCAATAAGATTATTAGACAATTCCTCTTAAAAAGAATTTGAAATTAAAAAAGATTATGGTTTGTTTGAGACATATGAACCTAAGCCTTAACTAATTGTAGTTGATAGAGACAAATCAGATGATAAATATAGATTAGAAGCCATGAAGAAGAAGAAAGATAAAAGAAATGCTAAACTTAGAGATCAAAATTTACCATATAATGAATACATTCATCCTGCAAAATAAATTTAAGTTAAATTATTGTTATCAAAAAAACCATTAAAAGATTATTAAACGTATGATTCTGATGGTAGTATTATGAGAAGAAGAGAATAAGTTAAATAATTAAGTCCAATTGTCAATACAGTCAAAAGTAAATTATAAGGAAGAGTTGACCAAAAATAATCAGAACCTATTGCTGAAGAAAACATTATTAATCAATAAGCCTTATTTAAATTAAAGGTTGCTACAAAAGTTAAAACATAATATGATGAACCATATAATTTTGAAGCATTCCCTTTAAAAACAGGAGTTAAATTAACATTCACATAAGAAAAAAAGAAAAAGGAAGAAGAGAAACTCAATAATGAAGAAGAAGATCTAACTGATGCTGATACTTATTAACTATAAAAGTTTATTAAAAAACCCAGTTATACAACACTTCCTTTATTTAAATTACCCAAGAAAAAACAGAATATTACTCATGAGAGATCTTTCCGTACTCTTAGATTAAATAAAGGATTTGAATATTGATTAGTTTTAAGAATTTATCATAAATTATTTCTATGAATTTAAAATATTTTCATAATAAACACTAAATTTGAATTAATAATTAAAGATTTTTTAATAATAAAGTTAAAGTTATTTAGATATTAAAGCACTAAAATAAAAGGAATAATGAATTCTTTAAAAGTTAATGAATTATGATAAACTTCTATTAAATTTCTCTTTAATTTTTAATTATATTCCAAATATCTAAATGTTATTTAATATATATATTAAAAAACATATATAAAAAAGATTCTTAATTAATGATAGCCAAATATATATATATATATTTTAATCTCTCAATAAATTTACCAAGGATAATTTAAGATACCACATGTGTTTTATTAATATAATCTGATATGTCCCTTTTCACCCCATCCAGATCCCCATGAATTTTAAACAATCCAATTACTTTCATTGTCAAATCCTACTGCTAATGCATAATGAGTGGTAGCATTTGATGAACAATTGTAAAATACTCCTGAACTATAAAATTACCAATTATCAGCATTTATTCCAACTGATACTGGATACTTACTTAAGGATTACTATAATTATTATTATGATCCTCCAACAAATGAATAACCAGAAATAAAATAAGTACCATTTCTTGTTTATTTACAATTCTATTCTCTATCAACATATGGATAAGTTTAGTTAGTAGATAATCCTACTCTGAATGCATACTCCATAGCATATCCATTATAACCCCCATAACATCCAGATGAGTTAAAATCACAGTCAACTATTTGTTATGTGGATGGATATATTTTTTAATATTTCATAATACCATACCAGGCTTCTATTGAATTACTGACAGAAAAGGCATAACCTGAATTGCATGTACCTTAATCTTTGACTGAAGAGTAATTTCTCCAATCAACTGCAGTTAATCCTTCCAGTTAGACTTCTGGAATATTAACTTAAATTTTATCCATAGGAATATTAAGATTTTTTTATAAATACAGGTCAACAAATTCTTCATGAGTAAGAGCCATAAATTGATTTTCCCCCATTTTATAAGTAACATCATCTCTTAGATTATGTTCTTCAATCATTCTTTTGTTGGAATAGTATATTCCCATTCTGTACATTTTTTCGGATTCAGTATACAATTTGTTATTTTATGTAGTCCAAAGTTCAAACTCTGATTTATTTTCTTCAGAAACATTGTAATATCCAACTGTCATCAGCAAGGTTACTAAAGCTATTGCAAGATATTATTTCATAGGAATTATTATTTAATTTTTGTTTTTTATTTTTCACTTAAATTACATTATTTACTTATGGAATATCTTATTCGTTCTATAATATACACTTTAATAATATGATTGTTAAAATATTTATTAACTTAAAAAGTTTATGACTAAAATTTATTTATTTTGTTTAGAAATATTTATTTTTTAAATACACTCTTAAATCAATAATTATATGAAAATTTTATCACATTTCAAATTGTCCAAAATAATATAACATTCCTATTTCAATCAGTGAGTGGTTGAATATTATATAAATTGTATAATACATACTCAAAGTATTTGGAAAGTATAATATAGTGAGATAATCTGTTGTATAATAATTTAGAGATATTGATATTTCACAATAATATTTAATAATTTAAGTTTTATTTAATTAAACTTTATTTAAATACCTTTTTCTAATACATTAATATATTCTTATATATAAATTATTAAATTAATATTATAATAATAATATTCTTTTTTAATATATAATTTGGAGATTAAAATGATAAAATATTTAAGTATTTTGTTGATAACAAGTGTTTTGTTGATTTATATCAATAATAATACACAAGATAATATTACAAACTTGTAATAATAATTTGAGAATTGGAAAATAAAGCATGGAATACAATTTCTTGATGGAGAGAATTAATACAGATTTTAAATTTTTAAAACAAATTTATAGAAAATAGATCAACACAATTCTGATTAAAGTCAGACTTATAGAATGGGAATAAATTAATTTATGCATTTAACTCAAGAATAGTTTGAATCATTGTATTTAATAAACTTCAAGAAAGAGAATTACGTCAGAGATTAACCAGAAATTATTTAATTAAGAAATTCAACATTGAAAGCATCCATTGATTATAGAAATTACACTGTTGTTAAGAATTAAGGATAATGTAATTCAGGATGGGCATTTTCTGTAACAGGTACAATGGAAGTTTATTAGAAGATTTATTAGAAGAAGAATGTATCTTTATCTGAATAGCATATTATTGATTGTGATTAATTGTCAAGAGGATGTACTGATGGTTCTAATATTAATGGATATAAATTTGCTATAGCTAATGGTGTTGCAACTGAAAGTGAGTATCCATACATTGGATATAATTAAACTTGTAAGAGATTAAATGGTACTTATCATGCAGTAAGATATTCATCAGCAGTAGGAGAATATAATATGAAATAAGCTTTAAATAGTCATCCAGTTTCAGCTGGTTTGGATGCTTAGAATTGGTAATTTTATTCTTCTGGTATCTTTTCAAATTGTGGTATAACATTGAATCATTATGCTGTTGTGGTTGGATATGAAGAGACTGGAAATTGGATAGTTAAGAATTCATGGGGTTTAGGTTGGGGTGAAAATGGATTTATTCGTATAAAATCTGGAAATACATGTGGAATAGTGACATATTCTTATTAAGATAAGTATTAATGAGATCTTACAATGAAATCTGATTAATATCTAATAAAATATATATATAGAATATTTTAATAAAACTTCAATATGGTTCCATTTATGTTAAAGTTGGATCTTAATGATATTTGAATGCAGCTTTGTATACTTTATTAAAATCAAGTTTCTTATTTAAGAATTATTAAAACATTTCTTCACCTAATTTCTCTTTAATGAAATTTTATCTTTTAGTTAAATCTTCATATATCTGAAAAATAATGAATTAAATAAATACATCATTAATTAATGTTATTTTTATAGCAGTTCCTTATTCAGATTGGTTTTTCAATTTAGATTACTAAATTTTGGATCTAATATTTTTAATACTTATCTATAATTTAATTTTTAAATTTTTGTACTTTATAATCTAATAATGAAAGTTGTAATTTATTTTTTTATTTTTCCTTAGCTTAATTCTATTTTAATTATAAATCTCTTTTCTCAATTAACATTTAGATAGTTTCATTGCCTTAAACTTTCCCTTAAATATATTTAATTGTTTTTTCACGTTATTTTTTATGTTCATTTGAATTAGCATTTTTGAAAGTCTTTTAAAATAAATATATAATTTACATCTAAATACATCTTTTATTTATGTAGTTTAAGATGCAAATCACTTAATAGATCTTCTTAAAATGATATTTTAGCTTCTAAAGATGTTTTAATTTCTAATTAATTTAAAAATTCAACAAAATTCTATTCTTTAGAGTAATCAGGATTTTCAATCTATATATAAAAATATGACATTATTGAATTACTTCTATATATTGACTAACATGAGCCATAGTTGATCTAAGAACTTCAAGTTTATCAGAGATTGCTTTACTATTTTTTTCAAGTTAAATTCTTTTGACTCTTTATTATTCTTTATCTTCATTTTATGCATATTATTATTATAATTTTTACATCTTTTCAGATGATTATTATTGTATAATAGAATCTGATTATTAAAAAAAATGATCAAAATCTTCTTTTTATCTAACAGTTTTATTGATTTAATCAATCATTTATTTTGAATAGTTCATATTATTATTAAAAGCATCTACATATTATATATGTATTGTGTGTATTTATTTAATTTCAGTTTCCATTTTAATAATATCTTATTTCTCATATTTAATCAATTTGTTTAGATTACATTATAAATAATTTAAATCTCTAATCCATTCTTCATTATAAGATCTATTATCACCACTAATTTTAATTATAATTCTCAATCTACTATCTTGTACCATACTCAATAAATAATCATGTTCTGCTTCCTCTCTCAATTTTTTTAGATTTTCAATCTAAATAAATTAATAATAATAAATATTACTTTATCTTAAATTTATGAAACCGTATCTACATCTGTTCCAAATCCTTCATTATGTTAAAGTGTTCTTAAATTAGCTAATTTCTTAGTAGCTGCTTGACTAAATTAAAATATAAGAATATTACTTTTGATATATAATATTGTCTAATTCTTTTTTTAAATCTTTTGCTTATTATAACATTATATAGAGTTCTTTGCCATTATGAAGTGCAATTTCACTTTTTAATCTAGGTAAAATAGATTAAGAAGATTTATTAATTGTTTCAGGATTAAATTATTTGTATTTTTCTTTTTACATTTTTGATTTGTCAATTATTCTCATTGTTGTATTTAAAGAGACTTCTTAAGTTTTAGATATTGCAGGTAGAGTTGTTTATTTTTTATCAACCTAATTTTATTGTTATTATTTCTTCTATTCTTCTATTTCTTTATGAATTTAAGATAAACTCATTTGATCCTCTGTTATAAAGAATTATAAACTAGTAGTATGCATTTTTGTTGATTTGACTTCTCTATAAGTAGATTTATGATTTTAATTATTAATAGTATTATCAGCTAATGATTTCTCTCTTCTAAATCCTTTTACACCTGGTAATTCATTTTATTATCTCATTAATGTTAAAATTGAAGTATTCTATTCTTATTTTACTGGTATTACTGATAATTCTTTATCATTAAATATATTAGTAGTATTTAAATCTTCTTATTTTTAATACATCATCTTCTTCTTTAATTTAGCTTCAATAGCTATTTTTAATGCTTATTTTGTAAATGCCTTTTCTTCTTAAACACTCATATATTCTGTAGCTTTGGCAAAACATTATTTCATTTTAGCAGAATAATCACTATGAACAGATAAACAAACCCAAGGAAATTAAATCCAAATCCATCTTTTATAATAATAATCTGTTGGTTTTCTTTCACTAACTAATGATTACTCTTCTAATTTCTTAACTTAAATCTAATTATGTGTTAATTTTAATTAACCTGGCTTTTTCAATTATATATCTTCATCTTTACTTAAATTAATATCTAAATCTCTCATTGAAATTTATCCATTTTCTAATTTTTAATATATTTTAGCTTCTTCTGATTCCTTTTCCCTTAATTTCTCTTCTTAAACACTACTAATTCCTATCTTCTCTTCAAAAAACTTTTTAACTTATTCTCTATTATATGGTATATCAACATTTAATTTTTCAAGTTTTGTTAATATTTATGGTTTCTTCTTTTTCTCCAATAAACTTATAGTAGGTTAAGTTTTCTTAATATCTTCTTCTTTACCAGGTTTTTTAGTTTATTTTTAATCTTTTTATAATACTTATTTTGATTTAAGTTTCTCAATCTTTTCATTAATTCTCTCTTATGGTGATTTATAATTTTCATCATTATTCCCAATTTTTATAGGATTAGCATCAATTATGTAACATAAATTCATTCTATAAAGTTCATTTAATAATCCAATATCATCTAATTCATCTTCTATACCTTAAATTGGTGGATGTCTAAAACTAGGAGTATAATAAGTTTCAAAATCACAAAATTCTTTTAAAAATCTTGACACTTATACAATTATTCTAAAAATATCTTCACTACTAGGATGATATTGCATTGCAAAACCTTCTATAGCTTTATTATATTCAATTACTGGATCAAATCCTTATTCTTCTAATTTTTACCAATAACGACATAGATCATATTTATTATTAGGATTAAATAATAATAGAAAATTCTCTATAGCTGAAACTATTTCCTTTAACTTAAAATATGTTTTAGCCATAAATAAATGATATGTTTACTCTTCCAATTTTCTAATGGAATTAGTTGATTTATTTAAATGATCAGCAATTTCTTCATGTAATTTAGGAACTGATGAATTCTCTTTGATATATCTTTTTTAAATGATACTCTTAAATATATCATTATTAATAATCCAATACTCTTTATAATGCATAAGATACACTTTAAAGAATACTAAAAAGATCTTCCAATCATTCTCATTTAATTAACAAATTGTTAATGCTTCTTAAATAATCAAACCTTTTTAAGTTATAGTAAAGCATAGAAGCATTTTTATAAATTTTTCTTAATCTTTAAACATTTTTGCTTAATAGTGATCCAAAATAAAATTTACCAAATCTTCTAAACTAGTTACCTCTTACAATTTTGACATATCAATTTAAGAAACCAAAGTTTCTATAGCTTCTGGTCTAACATCACTTTCTCCAATTATTCCAACACTAGGATATGGAATCAGAAGGGAAAGAAATGTCTTACAAAATATGGAACTCATTTCACATTTAGTTTAAGATAGAATATTTAATAATTTATCTTTAAGTGAATCAGACTATAATAATATTAATTTATAATTATTACAAGGAATGTTTTTCTTTTTTTATGTGTTTCTATCATTTTCTCTATTATTTTAGGTTCCACTTTGATTTATATAATTTGTGCATTGATTTTCTATAGATATTACATTGCTCCTGAATTCTTAGAAGCAGTTAAAATAACTTTGATTCTAGATGGAAAAAATTAAGGCAACCAAAAGGAAACATTAGCTTCTTTTGGGATTCCATTGCCTTAGTCAACAAAGTGATTGACACCTTCAAAGATAAGTATAACTCTATTATATAAAGTTTTAGCTTCTTTGAGTATTTAATTTTCAATATGTGAATTGCAAATGTCTAACCAGTAAGCAAAATATTTTCTAAGCTTCTCTTCCAATAACTCAACTTTTTATCCTATATTAAGCAATTCCCTCAATTTAACCAATATTCGATATATAGCATAGAAATAATTACTATTATTTCCTCCAACCATAGCAAAATGAGGAATTATGATATCCTAATATCTTCCTTTTTTATTTGCATTATGATATCCTATCCACTTAACAAGTAAAGTTTTTTTGCCTACTCCATCTTCTGCCTCAATTACTAATGGAAGATTTTATTTCCCTTTCTATTTTGAATAAATAAGATATATTACTACATCCTAATCCAACCATTCTTCAATTTTCAGAAAATGCTTATCTAATCCACTTGTTTACTGATTTTTATAGTATTCCATAACAACCTCAGAAGAGCTAAAATTAAATGACATAATACTCTATGTAATTATTGTACTCTTCTTCCAATTAAGCTATCTGGAAGGATAGATTTTGTTTCTGATTAGCTTCTTCCATCAGTTTTATTATTTTTATATTAAAAAATAAATGAATATATATATATATATTGCTGATCATCTTTATCTCCTTACATATCTAGTTTTACGATCCTCTTATTTTTATACATTTCTAAGGGCATTCTAATCAAGTAGTTCAATTGATGGACCCCATTGAAATTAGTGATCATATTCTAATTCACATCTAACCCAATTTTTATCATTGATTTAATTCGAAAACATAACATTTTTAAATTAGTTGAAATTAGCATTACTTTCAATTAAGGTTCTTGTGCTTTTCTTTAAATTACTAAAATCTTCTCCAGTTTTTGGTTCCATTTATCTTTCTAAAGATGAAATTGATTCTCTTAAAGCATGAGCTATTTTAGGTTCATATTATTCAGGCATTCCCATTTCTTTGGCTGTCAATTCTGCTAATGCTTCTGGTGAATTCATTGTATTGTTCATATCCCATTCTAATTAATCTTTGAAATGAATGTTTTCAACTCTTAAATCAACATAAAGATTCTTTAACATCTCATTTTTAGTAGGATAATAACATTTATAATTTTAAACTTGTTTTTTTATTTGAGTAGTTATTTCTTATTCAATCACTGAAGGTAATTGATTTTCTTCAGTAATAATTCTGGCAAAGGTTTCAGGAATCATATGAGATTCATTTAAATTCCAACAAAAAGTTTAGTAAATTTTTTTACCTTCCAATTCAAAATCAATAGTGATTGGTACCAATTATTAATGTTTTGGTGGCTCAATGGGAATATCTTAAGCCTTTTGTAAATAATTAGTGATTGATTTACAGATTGATTTAATGCTTATTGGAATGAAATATTGGGATTGTTTTTTAATTGCTCTTAAGTCTTACGCAAAATGATTTCTTGTCTTTATTATTTGATGGAATTTTAATATTGATTTCTAAGGATATGAAATTTAGATATAGGTAAAACAGGCCTTACAGTATGATGAGACACTAAAATATTGTATTTGAATGAGTAATTACAGAATTAAGATGCTCTACTATCAGGAAGTCTGAATTATCCAGTACCCATTCCTTAACCTTTATTAGCATGGAAGGTGGCTATCCATCTTTCCAATAATTCTTCTATTCTTGTACTTTGAGAATTTGAGATGTCCTATTTTCTTGGTTTGTTTTTATTTTGCATCCATAAGGAGAGAGTACTATGATGGATACCTATTTCTCTTGCCAAATCTACTTATTTAATATTATGTTTTTGGAGTATTTCTTGTATTCGTGATTTGAGATCTTTTTGTATTTACATTAATTAATGGAGGGACCAAAAATAACAGTCGTAATCAGAAAGAGACCATTAGGGAAGAAAGAATTAGCACGTGGTGATTAAGATATTGTATAAGTGAAAGATTAAGCTACAGTATTGTTGAGCGAGATCAAGTATGCATTTTGAAATTCAATATACTTTCTCTTTTTTAGGTAGAAAGTTGATCTGACCAAGTATGTTGAATAGCATCATTTCAATTTCGACTTAGCATTTGATGAGAGTGTAAATAATGAAGGAGTATATGCAACTGCAGTACGTCCAATAATTGAAGCAGCCTTTAATAAAGCAAAGTGCACTTGTTTTGCATATGGATAAACAGGTAGTGGTAAAACATTCACAATGCTTGGTGACCCAGAAGCTAATGTACCAGGACTATATCTGATGGCTAGTTATGACCTATTCAGCATATTATAAAGAGTAAGTAACATCACAATTATACAAATAGCCAGAGTATGGTCATTTATTTGTGACTATTTCCTTTTATGAAATTTACTGTGGCAAATTGTTTGATCTCTTAAATGATAGAACTTAATTGGCAGCATAGGAAGATGCCAAAGGTAATGTTCAAATAAAAGGATTAACTGAAAAAAAAATTCAAAATGTTCAGCAACTTATGCAAATCATACAACATGGATAGAACTCTAGAGTAACTTCTTAAAACTCTGCAAATTCAGAATCATCACGATCTCATGCTTTACTTTAAATTAATTTAAAATAAGGTAAGCTAGTTCATGGCAAACTTTCTTTTATTGATTTGGCAGGTAGTGAAAGAGGAGCTGATGTTAGAGATTAAGATAAAACTACTAGAGTTGATGGAGCAGAAATTAATAAATCTCTTTTGGCTTTGAAAGAGTGTATTCGAGCTTTAGATCTTAATAAGAATCACACTCCATTTAGAGGCAGCAAACTTACATTAGTATTAAAAGATAGTTTGATTGGTAATTGCAGAACTGTCATGATTGGTAATATATCACCAAGTAGTGCTAATAGTGAACATACATTAAATACATTAAGATATGCAGACAGAGTCAAAGAATTAAAGAAACCATAAGAATAGAAATCTGGTGGAGATGCACTCAATCGAGAATTGATGTTAGCAAGAACAGGTTTCATTTTATTTTTATTACTTTAGATTCTAATGTGATCCGTAAAGAATATAGAAATCCTGATTCTGAAGATGAAGAAGGAGATGATTTATATAGTGGACCTCAAGGATCTTAAGGTGGGTTAACTTAGATGAACAATTAGAAATATTAATAATATAATAATATGACATCTTCATAATAATACTAATAATAATTTCAATATGCTTAATAATAATAATAATAATTACCTCCTTAACCAATACCTTAATAACCAACAAGAACATTATCAGCTAATTCATAATAATAAATATAATAATAACCATAATACAATTAATAATTTACTAATCCATATGCCAAATAACCATAATAATAATAATAATAATAATAATAATTACCTCAAAATCTTCCAAAATCCAAAAGTGTTTAGTCAAATCAAGCATAATAATAATAATAATCTACATCCTAAACACAATTGCCAAACTAATAATTTTTCATGTAATAACCAATTATGAATCCATAATAACCTAATATTTATTAATAATAACAATAACCAAATCTATAGTAATTCATAAATCCATAACCTTAATAACTTTAACCATAGATGTATAGCAATTTATAAAAATAAAATATTGCTCAGTAAAACCCAATGCTATATTAACAATAATAAAATCAATTTCCATAATAATAATAAATGTTCTAGCAATATCCTTAATAAACTTATATCAATAATAATAATCAATTTTATTAAAAGTAATAACCCTTAATTCCTGGAATGAATCCTATTCCTTAATAGGCTAACAATTTTATGTAGCATTATTTAGATAATAATTTAAATTAATAATAATAAGATCCATTTGTAAATGATGATTTTTAAGGTGAAGATGGAGACAATCTATTATTGGAAGAAGTGGATCCAGAATAAGAAATATAAGAATAAAGAAATTAATTATTATCTTAATAACATGAAGAATTAGTAAGCAAAGTATTGTAAGAAGAAGATGAAATCATTGTATTCCATAGAGATCATATTGATGTTATGGTTGAGATATGTAAATCAGTAATATAATCTTCATTATCTTCACTAGGATATGATCTTATTGAATTCTTTGGATCAGAATCAAGTGGCTGTGGCTGATTATATGGTGAAATTAAAATAGAATTTACAAGTCAAATAATAGGCAATCAATGATTTCATAAACAAGCTTGGACAATATGAATAATTGTTAGAATAAGTATGATTGTGTATCTACTTTCTTTAGGAAGCTGAATTAAATGAATAATTGAAGGAGTTCGGATTGGGTAATAACTCAAATTAAACAAATATATAATGATAACTAATCATAATGTTAACTCTAGATCATATGATCCTCCTGTCATCCCAAACCCTTCATAAATGCTTCACGAGTCCTAATTCGTTAGCATTTCTCAAAAACATCTGTTTCTCCCTAATAGCCCTTTTGAAATCAATAATCAATCTGACAAAGTCTATTCCCAATTACCCTTTGAACCACAACCATTAGAGATGATGTTTGACAATTAACCCTTCTAATAAACTATCTCCTAATAAATAATAAAGAAACCATCTAAATTTTCAAATCTCAAAAAATCAACTCCTCCTGCAATCTTGCCATAAAAAAGGTATCTCATTTATTTATCATTTTATAGATCTAGTCATAATTAATTACAATTAAAAATGCCAAATTATGAATCTTAAAAAGAACCCCTTAAATCCTAAAAAGGTACTTAAAATGATTTTTAACTGTAGGACTAAAACATTTGTCAATCAAAGTTAAATAAATAGTCTTTGAATTTAAATCCGCATCTTATAAGGATGTAGCAGAAAGACTTATTTAAGAATTGATTTAAGAAGAAGGTAGAATTTCAGATTGTGATAATGTATAATAAATTTAATATCAAAGTCAAAAGATGAGTAGAATATAAAAAGAAGAGTTTATGATGCTCTTAATGTAATGATTGCCTCTAAAGTTTTAAAAAAAGAAGGTAAAAAGGTTAAAGCTGACTTTGATACTTTAGTATTAGGAAAGAATTTATTAAGCCAAAAATCTATTCAAAAAGAATAACTTGTATATCTTGATATTATTTAGATTGATATGTAAAAAATAGTTGAAATTAAAAAAAAGTAATTGGCAGAAATTGTTTGCAGAATTAAAGCAGCTAATTCCCTTATTTAAAGAAATAAGTCCTTATAGCTTAATTAATAATAATAATTGTTTTATTTTCCAATTTTAATATTCAATTAAGATGCAAATAATTCAAAATTTATTAAGGATAGAAAATAATTAAAAATATTACTAAAATCTAAAGCAAATTTTATAGCTGATTTAGATATTGTTAAAAAATTATATAGGTATATTAAAATAAAGAATAATTTTAGTGAAACTATTGATTTAAAATATTTAATAGATGAATGCGAAAATTTATACATATGATCTAATTAAATATTCTATATAATATTTTATTAATTATTTTCTATTTTAGTTTTATATTTTATTATTGAAAATGATTATTATTCTTCAAATCTATTTAAAATAATAATAATAATAATAATGATTATTTATTTAAAAGTGAATTATTATATTTCATAATTAAGTATTTCACCAATTATTTTTACATCTATCCATTATAATTGAATTTAATCTTTAGTTGTCTTACATTAAAGTTTGAACCTTCCTTTCTAATTCTTAAGCATAATTTGCACAATTTTCTAGAACTAAAATCTTATTTCTAGCTAATTCAAGTTCTTGATTTCTTTGAATGAACATATTTTTCAATTTCTCCAGTTCACTACATGAATTTCTAAGCTATCCTTCTAAAACTATTACTGTTTTTTAGGTAATTTGTTTTTCATTTATTTATTCCCTTAATTAATCATTCTCAATATTTAATTAACTATGTTTAGTTGTATATTATTCTAATGATGCTTACAAATCATTAATTTATGAACTTAATTACCAAATATGATTTTCTAATTGTACTTTTTCAGCTGAAAATTTCATTTATATTTAGGTTTCCACTTAAATTCTTAATTAATCATATTATTGCTTAGCAATTTTATCAATTTCATCAGTTAATAAATTTATTTTCTTTAAATAATTTTCTTTTTCTAAAACCCATTATTTTGACATTTCTTTTAATTATGATAACTAAAATTAAAAATAAATATTTTACTTCTTCTAGTTATTCTTTTTCTTTTTCTTATTCTCCTTATTTCTTTTCAATTTAATATTATAATTATGCAATTTCTTACTATTTTCTATTATTCTCTTCCCTAATAAAATCTGTTTATTATAGCTCTTTTTTTAATTAATCAATTTTTTGTTATTAAAATTTAACAATTCTTTAATTTTCTAATTATATTTCTTCCATTGAATTAGTAATCTTTTCTAAATCCTATTATAAAATTGAATTATCTTCTTCAATAGATTCAAATTAATTTAATTTTTCTTGACATTTGACCAATTATTTAGTTTTATCATTTAATAAATTTTATAATTTTAAAACATGTTCTGTTTACAATCTTAATTTATTTTCTAAGTCTTATTATATTTCAAGATGAGAATTCTTATCTTTTTATAATTAAATAACTTATGATCTTAAATTTCTCAATTCATCATTATGAGAATGATTTGATTTAGTTTATGCTTCCAATACAGTATTTTTGACTTCCAATGTATGTGTTTTCTCTAGATATTCTGATGATTTTTTAATTTACTATTATAACTATTATTTCAATTAAGATAGTTCTGAACAATTTGTATTAGTATTTTATTCACGTAATTGTAATGAATTTTCTAATTCTTTAACTTTTAATATTAATTAACTCTTTTCTTTTCTGAGATTGTCTAATTAAGTTTTAATTAATATCTTTTCTTATTAGACATCCATATGATTTGAAGATTATTAAAATTGTATATTGTATTTTGCTTATCTTTCTTATTCTAATTATTTTTAAGTCTCTTCATAAACAGCATTTAATTATTCAAACTTTGTTTAAAATTAATCACATTTATTTTATAATGTCTTATTTAAGGATTCATATTATTATAATTGTGTCTTCATTTACTAATTCTCACTTATAAGAGTCTACTGTTTGATTTCTAATAATCGATATTTATTTGAATTCTAATTTTTCGGATCTTAGTTTAATTTTGATAAATTTTCAATTTCTAATTCTTTATCTAATAATTATTTTTATAATTGAACAATTCTTGAATTGACAAATTAGTCCATATCATTTGAATTAATTTTCATCGTTTTTCTATTCACTTAATTCTGAGTAAGAATAAGAGTGTTATTTTCTTTATTCATTCCGTTAAAAATATAATAAAATTAATAATGCCAATTTCTAATGATATTCCTTGATTTGGATAAATTCTAATATATATAGATAACCTGGAAATCATGCTGATCAAATATAAATTCAAACTTTTTTATATTGTTGAAACTCTCATTAGTCCAGAATATCAAATAACCATAAGATGTTAGTATTTATATACTTTATTTAATTGATACTTTCATAAACAAAGCTTTTTTACTAATTACTATAACATTAATTACAGAGAATCTCTTAATATAAATGATTTCATTAATGTACTTATCAATTCATATTAAGAAACATAATCTAAAATTAGCAAATGAATTACCATAAATAATAAATTAGAGTATAAAATATTCTATTATATGTTTGCATTTATTATTCCTTTGTTTAATATGGGCATTACTTTACATCTTCATTAAATAATTAATTTATGTTATTATCTTATTTTTACTTAACATTTTATGTAAGATTTACAATTAAGAAAAGAATTTTGATATTGATCTAAAATAGGGAAAATAATTATTTATTTCTAATAAAGATGGTTGAATTATATAAAATGAAATTAATATTTTGAAAATAAGATACAATGTATCTAATTATTTAAGATATATTTATATAAATATCAGTTATTTTCTAATTAATAGGTATATGATAATACTAAAGACTTTGCCATTTATTCTTAATTTTTATATACTCCAGGCATTAAAATAATGCATTCCTCTTTATTTTTTAGAAATCCATCAATAGGATCATTTCTTGTTTAATTAAATTATTGTCTTTGTCCTATAGATTAAATATCAAATTATAAAGAAGGATCACTTATGAAACAGTTAAACATTATTTCTGATAACTTGTCTAACGGTATTAAATTGAGGTTATACTTAAAAATATTTCAATATTATCCCCATTTTTTATCTTTAAACTTTTTTACAATTCTATTTTAACACTACTTAAATTAAGCATACATTTTTCATAAATTTATTTGTAATTACTTTGAAATGACTTTCTTAATACATTGATAATTGGTCCTTCAATAGTAGTTAAACAACCAACCTTAAATATTAAAACATATAAAATTACATCTATTATATTTCTGAATAAAGGTGTAAAATAATCATTAATTATTTTATCTATTCTAAACATAGCAGTTTAAAAAAAATAAACAATTCCTTTCATGTTTAATTCTTGACTTAGAACATCAAAAAAAATATCAAAACATTCGCATTTGTAAAATTCTGCAATTGAATTACTTAATTCATTTGCCATAGGAAATGTTATGCTTGTATTTGCAAATCCAGAAACCATACATCTAAGATTTGATTACATTTGTAATATTTCTTATTATAGATTTTGATTTTCTTTTGTTAAAATTTCTTTTTCTTTCTTTGTGATTTGTAATTTATTCATTAGTATCTTAATTTTACCTTTTAATTCATCTTAAGTGCCATCTAAATAGTCTTAAGGTTTTGAGAAATTCTCTTTGACATAATTATTCTTCATTTTTAAATTATGCTGTTAATAAGTATATTTTATATTTTAAATTTAAATAAACTAAGCAGTTAATAATAATGGCCTTATTAAAGGATGATACAGCATTCACACATGTAATTGCAATAGATTTTGGGACTGGAGCATCAGGGTATAAATTAAATTAATTTAGATTTGGATTAGCTCCAAAAGTTTTGGATAAGGAAGGAAAACCAAGAATTGAAGTATTTAATCCTTGTGATGATTCAGATGATCAAAAAACTCCCACAGCTATCTTATTTGATAATAATGGTTAATTTATTGAATTTGGATCATAAGCTCTTTAAAAATATGCTAGTATATTAGATGATGGTGATTCAGCTTATCTATTTTAAAATGTAGTTTAACATTTAAAATTATTAGTATAAAATGCATTTATATCATATGCATAATCATGCAAGATCTCTTGATAATAGAGAATTGCCTTTAATGTTATTGATAAAAGAGACTCTCAAATACATTAGCAATAAAGCAATATAAAAATTAAAGGAACAAGTAGGAAAGGTGATATCTACAAAAATTAGATGGGTATTAACAGTTCCTGCATTATGGAGTGAAGAACATAAATAATTTATGAGAAAAGCAGCTGTAGAAGCAGGAATAGTAGAAAATCTAAATTCTTCAAATTTATTATTGTGTTTAGAACCAGAAGGAGCATCAATATAATGCAGAGAAGATGCTGAACATACATTAAAAGAATAAATGGGTAAAAATTCTGTAGTTATGGTACTTGATTGTGGAGGTGGCACAGTAGATATAACAGTTCATAAATTATTATGTGAACCTAATGAGAAATTTTTATGTAATGAATTGATTCCTTCTTCAGGAGGATGTGAATGGGGTTCAAAATATGTAGATTTATATTTTGAAGAATTTTTAAAAGAATTTTTAGGAGAGAAATTATTTAAATGTTATTTATAGAATGCCTCAGCTAGATTGGATATATTAAGAGATTTTGAAATTCTTAAAAGAAAATTTAAAGGTAATAAAGATGAAAGATGTATGATTAAATTCTCTTATTTGGGTGAAGAATTAAATACAGCCAAATTAACACAATTAGTTAAAGAACATAATTCAAAACATGCTGCAGAATATCAGGTTAAATTGAAAGGTCTTTCTAATGTAGAAATTCCATCTTCTTTAATGGCATCTTTCTTTTAAACTTTATTTGAAAATATAAAAAATAAAGTTGCTCAACTTTTATAATAAGTTGAACAGAAAAAAGAAAAAGTGAATTTCATTTTTATGGTTGGAGGATTTAGTGAATCTCCATTTTTGAAATCAGAAATCATAAAAAGATTTGAAAATAATACAATTTAAATCTTAGTTCCTAGACGTCCTTAAGTATCTGTTATTAGAGGAGCATGTTTATTTGGTTTGAGTCCAAGATCTATTACAAGTAGAATAGCTAAAAAGACATATGGAATTAATACTTTAACAAGTTTTGATGCAGAGAGACATCCAATAAAAAAGAAAGTAATAATTGAAGGAGAGGAATTTAGTGAAGATGTATTTGATGCTTTTGTTAGAAAAGGAGATGCTGTTGGGTATATATAATAAATAAATATAATTTTTTAGTTGTGATGAAGTACATACTAAAATATATTGTCCAGTTAGATCAAGATAAACTATAATGAGAATAATCTTTTATGTAACTGAAAAGAGAGAAGTAGAATTTGTAGATGAATAAGGAGTTTAATAATTAGGTGAATTGTGTATTGATATTGGAAAACCACTTTAATCTGTTGAGGATAAAACTGTTAAGGTTACACTTTTATTTGGAAACACTTGTATTTATGCTACAGCTACGAATAAGGATGGAACAGAAATAAAAAATTGTGAATTCAAATTCGAATGCGGGTAATGAATAATACTTAATTAATGAATATTCTAACATATTATTTTTCATTTTCAAACTATTATTATTATAAAAGTAGTATTTAAATAAAATCGTTAATGGACACTACTTAATTAAAAACTAAAGTTCTACTTGATTATGCTAAGAAAAACAAATAATTATTGCATGAATGGTCAGAAAAGACTGTTTAGGCATTCTTAGAATAAAGTAGAAAATTTACAGAAGAAATGTATTAAGGAAATTTATCAATGGTTGATGATGGATATAATGATACATAAGAATAATTATAGATACTTGAGAACTTATTTAAAAGTATATAAATTAAAATGAAAATTAGATTTTACAAAAACAAAGGGTGATATACAACACAAATTGAGAATTTCATATTCTATAGCCAGAAGATTATATATGGAAAATTTATCAAAAAGAGTCTTTTAGACATTAAGACAATAGGTGAAATACTAAATTTATATTCGTAGAATGAAGATATATGCATCTACTTACTCTAAGTAATAATAAATAATAATAGTTTAGATTGAGAATACCTAGATAAGTATTTAGTAAATGGAGAAAATTAGCTCATAATCAAACAAGATAAACAATTTTACATTAAGTTAATAGAAAAACTGATAATGAAATAATGTAAATGTAAAAGGAATATGAATAATTAATTGGATAATTAGAAAATGTATTGGAGAAGAAATTGATTGAATTAAAAGTAGAAGAAGAACAACACAAAGAATTAGTGTTAAGATATGATGGAATTGTTGAAAAACGTACAGCTATTAAACATTGATAATTATATTCAATATTACTAAATCAAATATTAAAATTTCATTTTATACATATATAAATCATCATTATCATTATTATTTATGATGGTGACACCATTCACACCAACATTATTTTGTTTATTCTCTTAATTATTTTCTTCTATTATTTATTTCTTATAAATATTCTTTTTATAAAAATTCTAATTCATTTCTTGTTTATGGAGAAATTGATGGGCTTCCTTACCAACCGAAAGACTTCAATAGATTTTTCTCACTATTTGATGGAGAAATCAATCTTTGAGAAGATTCTTGTAGGTAATTTGTCCGAACTGACCCATCTGAACTTAATTATAATTTCTTTTTCTTTTTTAATTATCTCTTCTTTCTCTATTTATCTTTTTATTCATCTTTTTTCTTTAAATACTATTCCAATTCTTCTAATTAACTTTTGTATTAATCTTTCATTTTACTATAATTTTCCAATCTTCTTTTAAATATTTCTCCTATTTATTAATAGAAAATATATTTAATAATTTCTTAAGTTTGTCTTTCTCTATAAAGAGATGATAATTTATCTTTAATTAATAGTCCAATACAAATTAATAATTCCTCTTAGGCATCTTCTTTTGTTGAAGCATGTTAATAAAATGGTTATATTTGAGCCTTATTCAATAAAGCATTCAATAAGATAGCCTAAAATATGAGATAATATATACATCATAAGGAATTTAAATTTCCCCTCTAGAATGATCATATTTTATAAAACAAATAATACTGCATGAACATTTAAATTAAGGAACTTATAATTTAAAATGCTTTAATGTTGCTTAAATATTATCTTTACAAGATGAACAGAATTTTTTAATTTTTAAATAATTCTAAATCCAATTAATTTGTGATTACTTATAAATGATAATCAAATTCTTTATCTTAGATAATAAAATTTTCATTTTGTTACACAATTTCATTACATATATAATGAATATGTTCTTAGATGTTTATTTCTATAATTTATTTCAATGAATGTAATTAACATCTTTTCTTATTATTTTATGATGTTGACTTTTTGAAAATACTTTATATTATATATTTTATTGATTCTCCATAATTTTATAATTTTGCAAGTGTCTTAAATATCCTTTGAGAATTGATTAGATCATCATTTAGTTTTATTTCTTGATCTATGTTAATAAATTAATCTTTCTTATTTTATGTAATGTAATCTTTTAAAGCTGATATACAACCAGAACATTCTAGATTAATTTATTCAAGGAATTCTGATTTTGATATCTATACGCATTCTTTCATTTCTGTAATTGATAATTTTTGTGATTCCTTGTGTTAATAAGTTTAAATACCATGCCGTATAATTGTTTACAGAAAATATTTTAAATTAAATTTATGATTGTCACTTCAAATATAGTGAATGACTTGAACACTGCATTCTAACTCATTAATATGGGCACAAATGATAAAATAAGACAAGGAGAACAATTGTTATAACAAATAAGAGGTGATATACAATATCCTAAAGTGTTATTTGATTATTTCTAAGCTTATGAAATTAGTCTAGGTCTTCGAGCGGCAATTGAATTAAAATTATGGTTTAAAGAATATCGTAATTTTGATGACTACTAAGCTTAATATGTTCAAAATGTAGTTTAAACCATCAAATAACACATAATAAGAGCTTACATTATGTCTGAAGCACCATTGATTCATTAATTAAAAGATGCAATTGTATATGTTGCTTCAAGAGATTTTCCTACTTAATGGCCTACTCTTATGGCAGATTTAAATCAATACCTAACTCATCCAGATTATGTATACAAAACCTTGAAACTCATATACAAATTAACTGAAAAATATGTTTATCAATCAAGGAGTGATCCTTTATATGAAGAAATCATTATAACATGCGACACAATCCATCATAATTTGTTATTGTTGGCTAAATCATTGATACAATAAATAGAAGCCCTTCAAAATCTATAATTATCATATGAAATTCTGAAGACATTACTAAAAGTGTTTTACAATTTAAATTTTTAAGTAATTTAAAATAATAATTGAATAATTTAGGATTTACATCCACATTTTGAAGATAATCTCCAATCATGGATGGAATTTATGAAGGTAGTTCTAAGACTCTAACCAGTTTAAGGAGTAGAATAATTCCTATTCAAATGTAAGGGTGAGGCTCTTAGATGTGTTTTATTATATGCAATGAAGTATCGAGATGATTTTGGTGATCTAATATAAGTATTTTCAAGTGAAATCTGGAATGTTTGTACTTAAACTAGTACTGGTAGAGATAGTGATAAGGTTATATAAGTTAAATAAATTTTAGATTGTATTATGTGCTTTAAGATATTTCAAGACATTAATTGCTTGGTAAGACATGAAGACTTTCTTTGAGTAGAATATAAAGATTTTAATAGAGAGTTTAATAATAAGGAATTTATCTTTGTCAAGTAATTCATATTTAATAATACCTTTTAGAGGATGAAATTGGAATGTTTTCAGATGAACCATAAGAATTCATTGAGAAATTTTTTGAATAAAGTGACTTAGAATCTAGAAGAGCATAAGCAGTTGAATTATTCAAGACAGTTACTAAACACTTTAATCAATAAGTTAATGTCATAATTTAAGAATATTTGTATAGATTTATATTTTAAATTGATTAGATAGGCTTACATTTAATCAGGAATGAATGGAATAGATAATGAAATAATTCTTATTAATTTAATTATTGAAGCCAGTACAAGTTCATTTACATCAAAAGATGGAACTATTGATATAATTTTATCATAAGAAAATGTTCTTGGATTTTATACTCATTGTTTAAAACCTAAATTAGGATAAATATTTGAATTACAATAATAAAATTAATCAGTTGAATAGAAATTCACACCAATTTAATTAGCATTCTATTGTAGATACTTATTCTATTTCAGAAATGTTATTGATAAAGTTGAATTACCAACTTTAGCTACTTTAGTTTCAAAATTATAATTAAGCAAAAAGACTACTTTATCAAATATTGCTTGTTATACAGCATATTCATTAATTAATGTAAGATAGGATGTTAAAAATTATGCAAATCATTAGTTATACTTTGAAAATGTTAATATTTCATCATATTTACAATTAATTTTGACTGATTGTTATAATAATATTAAATAATAATAGAAATTAGAAACATACAGTTTAAAACTTACCAATTCATTGATTACTTTATTGAAATAAGAGATATTCAATGCAATTGCTGCATTATGTAATTTACTATAAGATTTACTTAAGAATATCAAATTAGAATATGAATTTTAGAATGTTCATTTAGTTTTTGAGATAATAGCAAGTGTAGTTGATGTTTGTATTATTGCAAAGAATTCTGAAGCAGCCAATTAATTATAATAAAGTATATTGAATCAATTAGATGAATTACTAAGAGAAAATAAGGGAGATGTAACCAATTTTGTATTATAAATCTATTCACTCTTTTTATAAGTCTAAACTAATGCATCTTCTTATTATCAAAATCTATTATAAAACTTCCTTGAAATTTAAAATTGGAATGAGTCTAACTCATCCTTGTTTCAAGCTTATATCATATTCTTTTAATTTGGATTCTAAGGAACAAATTTACCTACTCCTTAATTATAAGCAATCCTAAAATCAATAGTATCTCATAGTACATCATCATATACAGAATTATCTAAATTCCTTATCAAATCTAATTCACAATGGACAAATATTGTTTTGACTATAATTTTTGAATAATATCAAATTTAATAGTAAACTTAACCTTAAATATCCTCAAAATCAAAAGCAACTCATTTGAGTTAGAAATTAATAAATAAAGAAGTATTTCTATTATTAGCTCATGTTTTTACATTTTATGGAGTAGAAGTACTTATCAATGAATGCTCTAAGATATCTTCTCAATTACTAGAAAGCTTTTTAATTAATGAATTAGGAATTATTAAATCAATATCTTAAAGAAATGAAAGAAAATTAATATTTACAATGTTGTCTGCTATATTGTTTTCTGGATAGTATAATATTAATTTTATAATTTAGATTCTTAACTTAATAATCATGGAATCTTATTTTTTAAGCTATGGTTGAAAATATAACACTTAAAAAAAGAAATCCTTTAAAATTTATGGGAAGAATAACTGATAGAGAAGTAACATCAAGTTCTGGATTCTAACCATTGAAACCTGTTATTGCTAGAAATGTAATATTATATTATTATTAAAATAATAGACTTCTGAAAAATTACTAAATGATGAAGATAAATTGTTTAGTGCCTAATTCAAAACTTATTATAGTAATCCAATTGTCTAATAGTAATTACCAATTCAATAATTATTAAATCAATAACAATAAGAATTATTAAGTAATTTAATATAATCTGTTTGAGTATGATATCAATCAATTTATAATTAATATCAAATTTCTAAGTTAATTTTTAAAAAAAGTATTAATTTTACTTATTCATATGTTTATAATAGTAAATCTAATAGATTATTAGAAAATTATACAAAAAAGATTAACTTCAAAATAATATTTAATCTAAACTTCTTAATAAAAATTATTTATTATAAAGTAATTATATAAATATTATAATTTTATAATGAATTTAACTAAAATCGATTAAACCATTAAATAGTTTCAATGTCCCAATTAACCTAAATGCGGTCTGAATTTAACAGATCTATAATTTAAATAAGAAGAAAAGTTAGATTCATTGTAATAAAAATTAAAATTTTAGAGAAAATTTTTAAAGCCATACAAAATTATAGCAATTGTAAAAAGATCAATTATATAAATAACATTTATAAGAAAATACATATTAATAATTGGATAAGGATGTAGAAGAAAATAATTCTTAAAATTTAGAATCAAATTTTACAAGTTTATTAGGAAATGATAAAAAGAACGATTCCAATTATCCAGATTTCCTAAATAAAAATAATACATAGTTTGCTAGTATCTAATAAGTCATTGATATGCAAAGACTTTTTGAACTTGAAAAGTAATTTGTAAATATGACATAGAAATGAATTAGAATAAAGGATTAAAGAACAAAGAGTTCATGAAGTTCTTAATTTAAGATAAAAATTATAAGAATATGAATAAAATGTAAATTAATTTAATGTTCAAAAAAATGAATTTAATAAGAAATTATAAGAAACTCAACAGTTATTTAAATTATCTAATATAATTGATTAAAAAGATAATCAATAAGAAATAATTATTAAATTAATTTAAGAAAATTATACTTTAACCTCTAAAATTAATAGTATAATAAATGATTAAAAAATAAAATAAAATGAATTTGAATTAAAAATTGATCAATTAAAATAATAATTAGAATAAAATCATATTTAAAAAGAGAATTTAAAGATCTAATATTTAAATTTAAAATAAAATTGTAGGAAAAAGATAAATAACATAAAATAATCAATAATATAATTAATTGAAATTAAATAATCTTTTAATTTTCAATTTAATAAAATACATAATTTTAATAATTAAATCTTGGAATAATTATAAGTATTTATAAATTAGAGAAAAGAATTAGAAAAAATGGAAAAACTCAATTAATCTAATCTTAAATTAATTAAATAATTAAAATCTTCTTAAAATTAATTAATTTAAGAAAGATAATAATTTTAAAAGCTCTTAAATATAAAATAGGTTTAATTTTAACAACTCTAAATTTAATCTTAAGAATTGTAATTATAAAATCAAATATAATTGGAATAATTAAAATCAATTAAATAATTTTAGTAATCTCATCTAGATAATTAAAATAATAAATTTAGTAATTATTTACAAAATGATTGTGAGGATAAAAGTGAATATGCAGATGAAAATTATGGTATGAATAATAATGATGGATCTAAAATTGAGAATACAAAGGATTAAGAATTACTCTCAGAAGAACTAGGTAATGATTCTATTGATAATAATAATAATAACTAAATTTAATAGTCAAATATTTATTTAGAGGGAGAGAGTTAAATAGAAGAAGATAACATAAAGAAGGACAATTTATTATCTTTAAAATTATCAGATCTTAAAACTGATTTATAAGGATAATCAATATCTTAAAAAATGGAATTTATATAAAAGGACAATCTAGAAGATGAATATAAATAGACAGATGATAATGATAATTATAATGATTAAGATATACCAGATATATAATTTGATGATGATTTGAATGATGTTTTAGTATAAATGAATACAAATTAAGACATTAAACAAGTTATATTGAAAGATGAAACACCTTTAGATAATAATATTATTGATTTTGATTAGGTTGTTTAATAATTGGAGGAAA